CATTCAACAAACCTTAGAATGTCTGCTTTGTGTCCGTGGATTTGTAAAGCAGCAGAGGGCTCCCAGGGGTGGGGGTGGGGTCAGCATTCTCGGGAACTGAGGGCAGAACAGGTGAATTGGGACAAGCATGCCAGGTGAGTGCTGTAGCCAGGCAAGGGCTGTGCCTCAGGACTTTCTCTTAATCAACTGGTGAAGTGCTCTTCTCCAGATGCCCACCTGGCTTTTCTTTGTCCTGGGGTCCTTAAACTAAGCAGCTAGGCAGGTGTAGCAGGGCTCCAAGAGAGCACCTTCTGAGGAGTTGGGGAGGACACCAGCTGGTGGCTCACAGGCAACCCCAGCATCCAGTGAAGCTTGACAAGGCTCTCGCCCGGGTCCCAGTTTGGTTCAGCTGCTGACGCTGAGCCCTCTGAAGCCACGGTTCCTACCCTGGCAGTAGCAGAACCATGGGGTCGCTCGCGGCAGACCTCAGGGGTAGGAGTAGAACCCAGCCTAGCAGGGATGGGGTGTTAGCAGCACCCCTGCCCTCCAGGGCGGAGTCCCCAAGTGGCTACCCTGGAGATGGTAACTCCCAGGTGTGTCTTCAGACCAGGAGCCACACAGAACTGTCTTCCAGCGCTCGATGCAGCCCCAGTCCCTGGTCCCATGACCTTGGGCAAGTTCCTTCTCCTTCTCCCCGTGCCCGGGTTTCTTTATCTATAAGTCAGGGATACTGATGATGCGGTGAGGCTCAGTGGTGAAACGCATGGAGTAAGTGCAGCTGGTAGGCCTGGCGCTCGTGTTTGCTGGGGCTGTGGTTTCTTCACAAATCCACCCAGCAGGTGCACACTTTCCATCCCTGAAACTCAGGACAACGGGTAGCAGCCAGACCATGTCAGCCCCACAGCCCTGGGGTTACAAGCATGTACCACCACGCCCAGCTTCTTTTAAGTGGGTTTCAGGACATGACCTCGGGTCCTCACACTCACAGGCAAGCATGTCACCTACGGAGCCATCCACCCCTACAGCCTTGGCCTTGTGTGCAGATCTTTTAATTGGGAAACCGAGCCTGGACCCAAGCCAACATTCGCAACAGGTGGGGAGTCATCGGAAGCTTCTAGATTTACCTCTTTATCTGGCTTCCCATTTCCCTGGGTCTCCCAAACCAGAGGCAGCGAGGGGGTGCTGCTTGCTTCCTAGTGGGTCTTGCATCCAAGGAGACTGCGGACCTCACAGGGCAGGCTGGCTCTTCCTTTTCAGATTAAAACAGAGTAAATCTTTAAAGACTTCCTGAAACACCTCCCCTCCCCCCCTCAAGCTTGGTCCTCACATTGATTACAGTTGCCTTTGAAAATGTCCAAATTAAAAATAGACATCAAGTCAAGCATGCCGGATGCAGCTCAAAGCCAGGAGCTGTGTTCAGGACCTCCTAGGCTCCGCCCTTCTCTGGCCTGTACTTTGAGGACATCACAGCATCATGGGGAGATAAAAGGAGTTGGCGGCAAGGCGAGGGTAGTCTCTCTGACAGTGAGCTGTGTTCTGTGTTCCGTCGTTAAGAATGGCTGTGAATTGATCTAAGATGTTAGGATACTGCTGTTTCCACATAGCACGGATCTGCAGCTCTCAAAGCCTGGTCCCTCACAGCAGCCTCCCTGCACTCGGCATTTGGCTGAATTCTCTTTCCCACTCTGATTCATGTTAGCTCTTCCAGCCTGGAGGGCCCTGGCATGTGCCTGGATATGGAAACAGGGATCTAAAAATGCCATTGAGGAAAACTAAAGCTGCTTGGGTAGTGTGCTGGTTCGGGGTGCCTGTCCAGGAAAAGGACAGTGTGAAGAACCAGCAAGAGAGGCCATCATGGGCCAAGCGATGAGGCCTCAGGAGGACATCACCCTGGGGGACTTGAGCTGGGAATTTAGTCTCCACTCGGGTCACGGAGTACACGGCTGTGAATTAAGCCTCGCTCCATGGCATCTTGCACAATCTTAGCAGAGGAGCACAGGCAGACCCTCTGCCTGGCCACGTCCCCAGCCCTGGCTGGAAGCCAGGGAGTAATTGGGACACCGTGACCTCCACATGTGCCCATATTTGAGAAGCACTAGCGTAAACTATCTCTGATGCTGAGCAGAGACAGCCCCGGAGAGAGTGACAGGGCTGGGGGGTGTGGCCTGCTGTGCAGGGCAGATGTTCTTCTCATGGATTCTGAGGTCTCTGTAAGAGTCTCAGGGCTCCTTCCTTGAGAGGATTAGAGGGCTGTACACACTACCACCTTCTGTAAGCAATGCAGCGTTGGGCATTCAGGAAGCGGAAGACAAGCACACCGAGTCCAAGAACCTCCCTCCCTGACCAAACTTTCTGAATCCCTTAGATCTGGTATATTTTCTGCCCCCAAACAGTTGAAATGCTTTGCTCTTTGATAACAAGAGCGAGGAAATCCTGTCTCATTTCCCCCACACCCCTGTTGCTCAGAACTCAGAAGCTCACAACCAAACAAGATCCTCAAAATCCTCTGCTGTGATCCACTGAATCCTCTGCTGTGATCTCCCCAAACCCTTTTGAAAGGGAAAGGGGGAAGAGATTCCTCTTTGGCTCTGACAGAGCCGCCTGCAACCCCTGCTCTGTGCAATGGATGGAACTTGGTTGGCAAGCAGGGGTTCCCTTCTGGTGATGTGGAACAAACTGTTTGTCGTCCCTGTATCTTGTACGCCCCTTTGTCTTCCGCTGTCCCCAGAGAGCTGCCCCTCAGACAGCTGGATTTTGCATGCAATGTGCAGGGAACATGTTGTTTGTAAAAGTTATGACTGTTACTACAGCTCCTATGAGTATGGAGACAAGAACACCACTCGTTGGGGGCAGGAGTGATGGTAATGGGTTTTTAAGCTGCAGGTCGTAACTCCTGTCCTCTGAGTGGACATTTGGGCTACTCCCTGACGTCTCTCCATCTCTGTCTTGGCTCATCTTCTCCTCTGACCTGTTAAGGACTCCCCTAAACCTAGGTCTGTTAAGGCAGGCTTCAATGAGGCCAGGTGGCATTCCTGGAGCCCTGAGTTCTGTGTAAGGGTTTTGTCAATTTGTGTTTTGTCTTGGTGATTTAATTTTTTTTTTTTTAGTGTGCATGGATGTTTTATCTGCAGTGTATGCCTGTGCATGTGTGTGTGTGTGAGAGAGTGTGTGTGAGTGTGTGTGTATGTGAGTGTGTGTGTGTGTGGTGTGGTGTGTGTGTGTGTGTGTGTGTGTGTGTGGTGCCCTGGAACTGGAGTTACAAGTCCCTGTGAGTCATCGTGTTGGTCCTGGGCATTGAACTTGGGTGACTAGACAGTGCTCATAACTGCTGAACAATCTCTCCAGCCATAGTGGTGATCCATGAATCATTTCTGGCTAGCAAGCCTCACCCTAGATGTCCTAGTTCCCACCATGTGACATCAGGGTGCTGGTACTCAACGATGGCCTCAGGGATAGCATGATATGCAATTTTATCATATGTATCAATCAGGTACGGTCACTGAGGACTGAGCGTTGAGCCCCTAGACTGAAAAGCGGCTGTGATCAACCTTAAAGGTGGCCAGGACCCTACACTCCACTGTTTTAAGTACCTTCTCTCTTCAGACAAGGCAGGAAAGAATCACTGGAATAAGGGTTCCTGTCTTTGGGTCATCTCACGTGGCCTGTGCACATCTTGTGGTAAACCATACAAATTATGTCTCAGTGCTCGAGGTCCAGGACCTGAGCCCTGGGCTCCACTGACTTGGACATTCTGCTGATCCTCATGCGTTCTCAGGTCTTAAGGCCACTATTAATCTGATCCAAAGGGCCAGTGGCCACGGGACAATCAGCAGTGACCTGTGGCCACAGGGAAACATAGACTCAGGCATAGACCCAGGGCTGTGCTATGACGGACATCCAGACTCGAGGGAGTTCAGAAAATGGAATGTCCCTTTTCGGTGTGGCCAAAGAGCCTTGAAGCCTCGAAGAATAGTCAACAGAGGTATGAGTAGAGAGTCCAACAGGGCCCAGCCACAGAGTCCTGTGGCGAAGGTGAAAGATGAACAGCTGGTTTCTCGGGAGTAGTCTTCTGTTCAGAATGGGCGGGGTGCAGGTATGAAGCTGGCAAAGCAGGTAGGAGTGGACTAGGAATGTAAAAAGACCACTGTCTAAACAACGGCCTCATTTGTGGGGTGAGGAGGAAGACAGGGCACCCCAGCTCTTATATAGATCCAGGCTGTAGATGATGACAAATTTCTTTTATAATTAAGGAGGGCACATGTTGCACAAGTCAGCTAGGTAAATGGCAGAATGCACCAAGCTAACCAGTAGGGTGTCACTACTCCACGTGACTTCTGAGCCTCGGGATGTTGGGAATCAAGGTGGTAACAGACCAGAGCAGAGCAGATTTTCCTGTCTGGGTGGACTAAGAGAACTGGTTCTGACAGGGAATGATTTCCGTTGTTATGTTAAAGTATCCTGACCGAAAGCAACTTAGTGAGGAGGAAGAGATTTATTTGGCTTACAGTTGCAGACCACAGCCCGTCACTGGGGGGAACTCGGTCAAGGGCAGAGAGAATATAACTGCATTCTTGCTCACTTGGTGGCATCTTTCACTCTTACAGGGCACAGGGATGGTGCCCACAACGGGCTGCATTTTCCTACATCAGTTAACAACGGAGACAGTTCCCAACAGACATGACCACAGGTCATTCTAACCTAGATAATTCCTCATTTAGACTCTCTTGCCAGACGATCCTAGGGTGCGTCAAGTTGACAGTTCAAACTAGCCAACACATCTACTTTGGGGAGGGACTCTTGCTCTCAGAGAACACAGACGTCTTCCCAGGCATCCCCCTCTGACCTCTGTGGAACCTCCCCCAGTAGGCAGTTAGGCTAAATCTCACCTTGCCCTGCCTTCCAAAGCTTCGTATACCACAGGGTCTAGATAACTGAACAAATGGATAATCGTCCATTGTAACCACGCGGGGATGTTCTAGGTAAGCACTGATTTTCCCTCTTCCTCTTCTGTCCCTCTGCAGCTGGAGCTGTCCAACACCGCCATCCTGCACCAGATGAGACGGGACCAAGTGACAGACACCTGCCGGGCCAACAGTGCCATGAGCCGAAAGCGTAGGGTGCTGACCCCTAATGACCTGAAGCACCTAGTGGTAGATGAAGACCACGAACTCATCTACTGCTACGTGCCCAAGGTGGCGTGTACCAACTGGAAGAGGCTCATGATGGTCCTGAGCGGCCGGGGCAAATACAGCGATCCCATGGAGATCCCAGCCAACGAGGCCCACGTGTCGGCCAACCTGAAGACCCTGAACCAGTACAGCATCCCAGAGATCAACCACCGCTTGAAAAGCTACATGAAGTTCCTGTTCGTGCGGGAGCCCTTCGAGAGGCTAGTGTCAGCCTACCGCAATAAGTTCACGCAGAAGTACAACACCTCCTTCCACAAGCGCTACGGCACCAAGATCATCCGCCGCCAGCGGAAGAACGCCACGCAGGAGGCCCTGCGCAAGGGGGACGATGTCAAGTTCGAGGAGTTCGTGGCCTACCTCATCGACCCCCACACGCAGCGCGAGGAACCTTTCAATGAGCACTGGCAGACCGTCTACTCGCTCTGCCACCCTTGCCACATCCACTACGACCTGGTCGGCAAGTATGAGACGCTGGAGGAGGACTCCAACTATGTCCTGCAGCTGGCCGGAGTGAGCGGCTACCTGAGGTTTCCCACCTATGCAAAGTCCACCAGAACTACCGAGGAGATGGCCACGGAGTTCTTCCAGAACATCAGCGCCCAGCACCAGACACAGCTGTACGAAGTCTACAAATTGGACTTTTTAATGTTCAATTACTCAGTGCCAAACTACCTGAAGTTGGAATGAAGGGGTGTGGGGTGGTTGGGGAGAGGGAGAGAATCCTGCTTTTTAATTTAAGATTTTTATTTGTCAGAAGAATTCTATGGATACTGGGTTATTTTGTAAGTTAATATGTCGTTGGGGGGGAGGGGGTGATGCTGCCAGCGGCATGGTAAGAATTATTTAAATCATCAGTAGGAAAGGACAGCTGTCTTTGCAGGGGAGCGGGGTGGATCATCCCTGTTTTTTAGAAGTGTAAACTGCAACACTGTCTCCAAGGTGTCCTTGTGTTCTGGTGAATTCCACAAACTGTACGTTTCCGTGAAGTCTAAGGATTCTTATTTATAGTTATTTAAACGTGGTCTCTGTATGGGTTTCTTCTTGTGGCGAGAGAGTAATGCTCATGTCTTTCTAGAAGAAAATGCGGTCTGTGCTTTGCTGGCTATGGCTTGTTTAGGGGTGTGATGGTATCCCCGTGCAGTGACAGCTTCTGGGATGTGTGGATGCCATTTGAGAAACCCTGCTAAGAATAAGTAAATTGTCCTTGCGCTAGGAAACGAGGGTGGGGATGGCTCACACTGATTGCTAGCAACCCCAGAGTCCCTAGCAGTAAAGAAATGCATTTTTTTAAACCCAAGAGAGAGTGGATGATAGCAATTTCTGTTCACCAAAATTAGCAGTCTATGAGAACAGGCTTTTTGTGGACGTTTTTTAACTGGCACTTGCAAGTTCTAGTGTCGATCTGTATCTGATATTTATTGGCCATCTACTATTTTCCAGGCTTTACTGCAGGTAGAACATTGAGTGAACCCAGTAGCCTTGGCCCTCAGCAAGCTTTATGTGAACACAGGACCTGCAGCTCAGCAGGGAGCCAGCCCCTCTCCTTGTGGTCTTCACCTGGGGTTTTGACTGTTCTCAAGTGGTCCAGAGAGTCCATGGCCCCAGCAAATTTGCATTTTTTCCTATAGCTCAAATTTGAAACCCACACATTTGGATCAGTCAGCTTAACTAGCTCAGTGACCTAAGTTCACTGCCCAACACAGGAAATGGTAGAAAACTCTTTGATCGTGTTTGTCTACTGCACTGTCTTGGTAGTAGAAGCCTGCAAGCCTCGGTATTCTCCAGACACAAGTGGGGGAGTGTGGTGATTGATTAGTGATGTCTGCCTTGGGTAAGGGAAGGGGAACATTTCTCAAGTGCCTCCTAACGTGACCGTGATCTCCAGTCCACCTCTTCCCCTGCCTGCCACTTAAGAGTGCACTGCAATGTTTGGAGATTTGCAGAGATCGGGCGTGAAGGTCAAAGGTGGATGGCTGGTTCCCGCAGGCACGTGAACACCTCCCATGTTCTACATTGACGGAGCACCCAGGACAGCCGCCTGGGGTCTTAACCCATTCTCCCTCTCCTCCAGCACACTGGAAACTCGTGTTTTCTGTTCTTGCTGATCAACACCCACACCTAGTCCTCCTTTCTAGTCATTTCTGAGGCTTCTCAGTGACATTTGAGCCACATTCCCTTTACAGCCGTGCGCGGGTGGGTAGGAGATGCTGTATATAATAGTTCTAATGATAGGGGAGGGAATGGGTGTACATTTTGCTTTCTGTGTTTTAGCTGGTTTTGTTTGTTTGTTTTTGTTTTGATGCAGTATAGAGTGAAGGGGGTGAGAATATTCTGAAAAACAAAAAATGAATAATTTATTCACAGAAACTATTAAAAATGGTATTGTTAGGTTCACGGCGAGCCACTGAGGAAATTATTTTATTTAATGGGAGCCAGAGTGTCTGGCTGTGCTATTTATAAAATGCAGGTACCTTCCCCAATTTCTCTCCCCTTGCCTTTGATAGATAGGTTTATGTCATGTGTTTGGCCAAGAGCAGTGGCAGACTTTGGCTGTCCCTGGAATAGGGAAGGGGCCCCTTCCTCAGAAACTGGCCTTCTGTGATGTTGCTCTGTGGGGCATCAGTTTGGAGGGGTTTGTGGTCACATATCCTTAGGAAACAAAATTCAGTCAGGTTCCTCTCTGCAGGACGTTTCAGGGTCTTGGGTCCATGGTCTGCCTTGTGAATCTGGGAGAAGACAGCATTTCCGGGCTGCATGGCCTGGGTGTCCTGTGTGGCAGATATGTCTTAGCTGGTATTTCACAGTAGCCTTGGTGAGGGTGGTCTAGCCTGTCTGAGGTCTGCAGAGATTGACAACTGCCTCCTAGGTCCCTCCACAAACAAACAAGCCGAAACAGCACTACAGCGTCTGTCTGGGAACTTGATGGAATGAATTACCCTTTACCTAAGCGGGAGGCCCCAGACAGTCAGCCTGTCCCTGCAAATGCAGGGGAAGGACTTCTTGAGTGTTGTGGGGAGGGGACGTGGAGGTGGTATAAAGCCACCACATCCTGGCCTTAAAGGCCACTCCGTGGGGGTGGTGGCCTCGTGACAAACACGTCTCACTTCCACACAGATTGGAACATGTCCTTCGGGGGTTTCAAATGGAAATTCATGTTGATTTCCACGTTTTGCATTTCTGTTTGTCTTTCATCTGTGGTACAGTGCTGTGTACAGATGGTGGGTACTCGGTTTCTCTCTCTAAAGTGAGATAGACTGTCCTCCAGGGGACCGTGTTTCATCACTATGCTTCTGGAACAAGGGACTCTTTTTCCTGTTTTGTGTTCACGTTTTATTTCCTAGTGACAATTTTAAAAATATGTACTGGTTCGCCCGTTTTGTAGACGGTATAAAGTATTCTGTGTCCCTGGCTGAAGACGTCCATTGGTGATGTGTTCTTGGAAATCCAAGTGTTTTCCAAAGGAAAACGTTGGAAAGACTCTCTTGCATGCCTCTCATGCTTACCTAGGAAAGGGAGCTGCCGGTGCCCGGCTCTGAGCCACTGTTCAAAGGTGCAGCTGTGTTTTTAAGGACCAGGTACAGTCAAGTAGAATGGCAAGTACATAACTGCTTAGCGTGCCCCGTTCTTGGAAATGTCTAGAATATCAGCCACAGGGGTCCCTGCCTACAGCCTCCCCAGCTTCTGGGCCCTTCTCAGCCGGTCTGAGAAACAGGGCAGCCCACTGAATGGGTCTCAGACAGGCACCTGGTCCCAAAGGCAAGCCTTTTCTCTCCTGCTTGCTAACTAAGAAGGAGAACTATGGGAACCAGAAACTTCACTCTGGCCAGCCCTCTGGAGCACAGAAGACTAGCCCAGGCTCCGAGAGAGCTCCCGGACATTGTGCAAGGCCCGAGGATGCTTAGCTTGTGTGATAACAATTACATTACTATCTGCTTCAGCTGACAAAACAGCAGAGATTATGCTTGCTTTCCTACTTGCTTCCTCTGCCCAGTCCCCCTCTGTACACACATACATGCACACATGGATGTACACACAGACACATGCACAGTAAACATGCACACGTGGATGTACACACAGACACATGCACAGTAGATGTGCACTCACACACACACACACACACACACACACACAAATCGCTCCAGCCTGTGTGGCACCCAACTCCCATCCTGGCCCACCTCTTCGTCAGCAGGACTGACTCTGTCACCCCCCCCCCAGGTTCTGCCCCCAGCTTTTCCCTACCACAGCTAAGCAGACCTTCTGAATAGGCAACAGGGCCTTCTAGAACCAGCAGCAGGCAAATTTGGGTCTGCTCTCATCAGGTACAAAAGGCGGTATCCGTATTCTCTTCTGAGCATACTCAGTAAGGCATATGGACATAGAATTTAACATCTTTGTGGAGTGTGTGTTTTTTACATATTTGTATGCAGTCGAGGGCCTGTTGTAGAATTCTCTCCCTGTATCTTACTATACTGTTAAAGAAGCTGAATTCCATGTTGCCAACAGACACGTGAAATGTTCCCGAACCTTCCTCCAGGAAAAGCCATTCAAGCCTGATTATTTTTCTAAGTAACTTCAATTAAATTGAAGGAAAAAAAATCTCTTCTGTGTATGGTCTATTCGTTGAGACTGTGGGGTGGGGCGGGGTGGGCTGCGCCCTTGAGCCTGTGTGTTAATATGAACATGAGACTCAGCCGTGGTGAAGCCCCCACCCACCCCGGTGACCAGGTCCTCTGTGTTAACTGGATAGATGAGACTTTATGCCATTGTGCTTTTCCCTACAAGTCTCTGTGTAAGGCCTGCTGGCTGCGTGGTCCTGCCACTGGGTCTAAAACAATGCAGCGAAGACCTCCACGGATGGTGGCAGCACCAGTGTGCAAACCGATGCCGTATCGCTGGACTGTCTCTCTCAGCAACTGCCCGTTTCTTTTTTTTTTTTTCTTTTTTTTTAGATTTCTTTATTTTTAGGGGGTTTTGTCTGCATGAGGATGCCAGATCCCCCAGATCTGGGGGTACAGACAGATGTGAGCTGCCATGTGGGTGCTGGGAATTGAACCCAGGTCCTTTGGAAGAGCAACCAGTGCTCCTGGCCCCTGAGCCATCTCTCCAGTCCCCGCAACTGCCTGTTCCCACAGGTAGGAAACCACAGATTCACCTGCAGACTCCGCTGTTTCTCTCCCACCACCACCTGCGGCTTCGCGGATGGTGTCTTAGTTGCAAGCCCAGCTGCCCACATTTGGTGTGGTCTTTCATCTCATGCCTAGAGGGTTGTTCCCGTCTAACCCCCATCAAGTTGACAAATGTCTTGGTTAGGGTTCCTATTGTTGTGAAGAGACCACCATGACCACAGCGACTCTTACAAAGGAAAACATTTAATGGGGCGGTTTACAGTTCAGAAGTTCAGTTCGTTACCGTCATGGTGGCAAGCGTGGGCGCCGGAGCTGAGAGCCCCATTTCTTGATCAACAGGCAACAGGAAGTGAGCTGAAACACCGGAAGTGGCTTGAGCATAGGAGACCTCAAAGTCCGACTTCAACAAGGCCACACCCACTCAGGGAAGACACACCCCCTAATAGTGCCACTCCTTGTGGGGGCTGTTTTCTTTCAAACCATCACAGCAATGAGGATTAGTCATCACAGTGGGCACTGTCTTGGTGTGCTTTCTGTTGCTGTAATAAAGTGATGGGCACTTGATGAGCATGTTTATTTGGCTCATGCTTCAGGTAATAGAATTATGCAGATATCCTAGCAAGAAAGAGACCCCTGAGTATATCACAA